CCTCCCGCCCCCGCCTGAGAGGCCCCCAGGTGCTGCAGCCTCTGCGCCGGCTGGACCCCCCCCATCTGCAGCCCCACACGCCCCGTCAGAACCCCTGTGGCACCCCCTAGGCTCCGGATCCTTGGCGGACACCGGCCTGCACTGGCCCTCAGGCCACCCGAAGAGGCTACGGCAGCCCCCTTCCCCCTCTGCCCTCAGGCCTCTCCCGACCCCACAAGGAGCAGCTAAGGCCTGGGCAGAGTGCGGGACAGGACGAGGCAGCAACCCCTGCTGAGCGGGTGGCCTGTGGGGACATGAGGGCGCTGGGCCATGGTTTCCTCAGAAGCCTCGGACCCTTGCCTGGTGCACTCTGGCGCCTCGGCCTCAGACCTGACGGGGCAGAGGCAGGGGCCCCCTTCGCTCACCCAGGTGAGCAGAAGACTCTGCAGGGATGGCAGAAGCCAGGGACGACAGGAAACGTCTGTGGGGTGAGTGCGGGCTCAGTAGCAGGACCCCGGCCAGGATGGTGCGGTCAAAGGGGGCCAGAGCGGGGTTGGGAGAGACCCTGCTGTGTCCTGTTCTCTGACCGCTCCCAGGCCCCATGGCAGAATAACCCTCCGAGGGGGAACCACAGGCCGTGCAGGTCCCCAACAAACAGACTCACACACACACAGGACTCGGGGTCTGTCAGCCCAGCCGTGAGGTGGGGAGCAAGGGGCTCTCCAGCCTCAGGTTCCAGCCAAACTGGACGGGGGGCCATGTCGCCTGGGACTTCCACAGATGGTCCCTCAAGCAGCCTCATCTCAGCATGTGTGAAACAGGTCCTCTCACCCAGAGAGCTGAGCGTCTGGAGAAGACTCGGGAGTCTGGCTCCATTAAGCAACAGCCTCTGCCCGGGAAGGGGGTCAGGGGCGGAAGTCCCATTTGGCCAGGACTCTGAATAACCCTGAGCCACACTGGCCACCGTGACACTGAATGGGGGAGGGTGAGGAGGATTGCAGGCGCCCGGCACCCTCGGGCCTGCCGGGCACCCCACCCGGCCTCCCTCGCCAGCGCTTCCCACAGCACCTGGCACGCCGTGAGGCCTGTTCGGGACGAGGGTGTCCGGAGCTGGTGTCCTCTGTGGTTTCCAAACAGCAGAGACAGCGGGACTGGAGGACCAACCCTCGATGACTCTAGTCAGGACTGAGCACGCCAGGGAGGAGGGTGTCCAGGCAGGTGGAGGCCTGCTGAGGGTCCCAGAGGACTGGCCAGCAAGGCGCTCTGCAGAAGGTCGTGCAAAGGGAAGGAGCGAGGCCCCGCCCCCTCCCCTCCCCAGCTCCTGCCAGCCCTCCCCCCGTTCACGTCTCTCTTCTTGTTTTGTCATTTTGTTCTTTCAGAAATCTTTCCTGAGTTCCTGCAAGGTTCCAGGCACCATGCCAGGTCCTGGGGTTATAGAGGCAAGCGAGTCAAATCTCTCTCAAGCTCTGTTCTCCGAGGGCGTGTCCTTAAACAGGCGAACGGCATTCCAGATGTTGTAGGGGAAGGATCAGGGTGCGCTGTGTAGGTGACATTCAAAACGAGGGGGGACCCACAGAAACTGGAGTTATCTTTTGGAGGGCAGGCCCCTTGTAAGGCATTCGGAATTTGCCCCTCCAGATCAGATGGTCAACCAAACGCTTCATCTGGCACTTTTGAGAAGGTTGTGTCACGATTTGCTGGAGAAACGTCCTGAGTTGTGGCAAACAGGTGACGGGTTTTTCCACCACGGCGAGGTACCTGCCCACTCCACGCTGCGTGTTCAGCAGTTTTTGACCAGAAACAGCACAACCCCTGTGCCCCACCCTTTCCCGTTCACCCAATCTCACCCCAAACGACCTTTTTCCCCCCAGATGAAAAATATTCTCAGAGGGAAATGTTTTGCCAGTGTGGAAGAAGTGAAACAAAAAATGGCAGAAGCACTAAAGGGCATCAAATTGATGAGTCCAGAAACCGTTTTGAGCTGCGGGACGGGTGTCTCAGTAGGAATGTTGCGTTAAACTAAGAGTACTTTGAAGGTGACCGAAGTTTATATATGTGAGAATAAATGCACAATTTTTTATAAGTAAATTCCAAGTTTCTTTGGGTCTCCCTTTGTAAGGTCTCAAGATGAGTGGAGCTGTCTAGCAAAGATTGGAGGAGACCCTCCCAGCAGGGAAAGTCCTGTGCAGAGGCTGGAAAGAAGTTGGCATCGCCAGGGTTCAAAGCCAGTCGGTGTGCTTGAGACAAGGTGAACAGAGGAGACAGCAGGAAGTGAGGCGAGAGCAGTAGGCAGGGATCTGGTTATTAATCCAGGGTCAGTAGTCACCCTGTGTGGGTTTTAAGCGGAACAGTCAAATGGGCAGATTCATGTGGCAAAAAGATCACTCTGGGTGGGGGGGTGGGGGTAAGAGTCAAAATACGAACTGCCATAACCT